TCAAGCTACAAAAATAACTTTATATATTTTTTTACTAAAAAATAGGCTTTTGTTTTCAAATAGCTTCTTCTTCGCTGCCCAGTTCGTGAAATTTACACGGATTTGCAATAACGCTTTTTAAATAATTTTAGAATAAATTTAGTAAAAAGCTACAAATAAAGTTTTTTCTCCAAATATATGTATATAATTTATAAATCAAAAAAAGTGTTAAATTTAAGAGAAAATATTAGTTTTGTTTATTTTTCTTACTTTTTTATTTCCATTTTTTACTCAAAACGTTGGCTTTTATTTTGAAATAAGTTTTTCTTCCGAAATTTTATGTAATTTTATAAGTAACTCGAAACAAAATTTCATCTCTAAATATACAAATATTGGTTTTGGTTAACTTTCAAATCTTTTTCGCTTCACTTTTTTAAATTTTATCTGAATCGCGGAAAAATTTTTTTAATCAAATAGTAACAATTTTTTCTTTAAACATATATAACTTAGTTCCATAAAAGTTAGCCAAAACAATTACAAGATATTTTGAGTCCGGGTTTTCTACAAAAAATTTGATATCCCTTTCGTCTTTTTTCCAAAATTATATAAATAACTTTATAAACAACTGCAAACAATCTTTAAAAGCTAATTATATATATAACATAAAAATTTAGTTAATACAAAAAATAATTGTATATTTTTCATGTTAAAAATTTCACTTTTGCCTTCATAAAATTTGCTCCAAATTCAAACATTAATTTAAATTATAAAAATTATGCTTGATGATTTTCAACGAAAACTGTTTATAATTTTGAGAAAAGACAACATTTAAACAAAAATTAATTATAAACATTACTAACTTTATCTATAGCTATAACTATACTTAATTTAATACTTATTCCTTAAGGCAAACATTGTAAATAAACTAAACTTTCTAAGTAAGAATGTGAAAGCCTGTTGTGGGCAATAGAAAAGAGTGTAGCTGAAGCACTATAACATTTGTGTAGTTAAAATTGCCAAGTAAATAAGACATAAGCCAAGAGAATGTGTAAAAAGTAAAATTAAGGTAAATAAATATAAAATTGTAATTTCAAAAAAAATAAATAAATAAATAAATTTTTTCTTATAACTTAAAGGAAAAGAGGTAAAGTAAAACGAAAAAAATAATGGAAATTTCTGGTATTAAACTGCTAACTCTTCAAATTGCCATTTAAATAATGTATGCGCAGCCACTTAACCGAATTTCTGTTGCGCCTAACTGAATTCATCCGTCTTCGTTTCTTCGTTTCGCTTTTTGGCGCATTAGTATCGTTACGCTTTCGTAATTCTAATAGTTATGCCACTCAAACTTTAATGCCATCTAATTGCAATGTTATACTCTTTTCTTCATTTTCGCAATGTCATTAGTCGTCTGTCGAAGTCCCCTTCACATTTCCATGCTGCGTCGCTGACAGTAAGTGTAATTGCCGCAATATGTTGCAAGCACTTAGAGGCTTATTGAAACTTAATCTGCTCGAGTATCGCCACAGTGCCTCTCGAAGTTTACGCACTCGAATGTATGCACACACTTATGCTAATGATGGCTAGTAATTCTAGCAGCAGGATAAGTGGGTGAGGGTACATACAATTGTCTATGGGGAAAATTTAAGTTTCAAGGAATCTCTTTAAGAATTGTATGTAGGACTGTTTAATGAATATTTCGGTTGAGTTGATTTCTGTAGGACATACTAAACAAAACGTGTAAGTCGACTTTAGTCCCAAGAAAGGTATCATAATTTTTCTTTAACATTTGGTTTTTGTGAAATAGCAAAACTATTCTAGAAAAACCTAACGCTCTGGGAAATTCAGGAGAGTTTTTTACTATATTCTCGAATATTTGCATCTGTTACCGTTACGCCGTTGTAACCGTGCTCAGTTGTGATGTCCGCATGCAACTTCTCCCGAAACGATTGAAGAGCACATCAATGTAGTCGTGCCAGTAATAGAAGATGGGATCACGCATAGTGGTTGTGAGATCGCCCATAACACCGAAGTCTTTCAAGAAAGATTGTCGATTCAATGTCAGCTAATTCCAGTACACTTTCATCACGACCATTATCCTTCAATGACTTTTTTTTCGAAGCTTTTGATAAGTTAAATACCACAAGAATCGTCCCCTCACAGGTTGATTTTTGATTTAGAGCTGTGCACTTTAGTTACAAGGCCTCAAGCCCTCAAATGTATCCACAACTGAGATAAGAGAGTTACCCACTTAGTTGGCGGCTTCTCAGGTTTCACCAGAGAAATGATCCATACAAATTCCCAGCCATCGGGAAAATGAAGAGTGGTCAATGACAGTTTAAGATCTTCAAATGAGCCACCACTTTAATTGTCTTTATTTCGACAATATTTAAAAAATGCTACTGAGACCCAGTTCCAGTACTGAAAATTTAAAAAATGTTTTCTGTAATAATATTTAGCTTTAACGAAGAAGTAGGATCAATATAAACGTATTTTTCCAGCTCTGTTTTCAAATCTCAATATCTACTATAACAATTTTTCAGCTACCTAGCACACTCATCTCTTGATAATTAATTGCGCAGCTTATCTATGAAAATTTGAGTTCCTTATTCGTTTACTTATATTTACCTAGTTATATATAAATTATTAAAATTTCCACTTTCCTTTAACCAGCCCTCTTCAAAACATTCTTCAAAACAGCTCACCAACTACCAGTACAAATTCTACACTTAACTAAACTCATTCCACATTAATTTCGCCCTCTTTCTTCGTTCGCCAAGAGCTTCGCTTTCATACGCTCAGCACGTCCGCCCAGCTATTTATTCGTTTTTCAATTACCAGCGATTGCCAAGAGGTAGCGCTTGCTGGCAACCAATTTTTCTCCGCTCTCATCAACTGCGTCCACCATACCGCAGTTTGCGCGGCCACCGTGCTTCACGCTGTCATTGTGTGACGGGTATTAGCGCTGGTGACAGAATCATTTGCACATCCATTTTCCATCCGCGTTTACGTCAACTCTAATTTCCTAATGCCAGCGCTTAAACTCATTGTCGCCAGCAACTTTTGTATTAAAATTTACTTTTCTTTGTTTTTTGTGTCGTTGCTACTTCGACAACTTTCCAGCTCATCAGTGACGGCTACCAGACACGGCTGATAATCAGAAAAAACTGCTTTGCCTCCTGACGTTTAGCGTCACGTCTCGCAGAGTCTCGTTGATTGTCTGGCAACCCGATATCCTGGTTTCCAATAGCGTTGGCACATACCAGCAGCCTCATTTGTGAATTCATTGCAGTTTTTCGTAACATTTACCTCCCTCCCACCGCCCACCTCTTCTTTCATCTAACGCCTTATATGTCTTCACAACGTCTCATTATCACTTCCGCTGCCTTTCATTAGCTAAGTAGGTCTCCTTGCGTACGCCGCCTTGGCCCTAGATGAGTTCAGAAATTATAAAAAGTCTATACGCTAAGGTTGTGCCATACTCATACTAAAAAGATAGACACATTGCTATATACCGTCGCGATAATTTTCTAACTGTTGAATAGCTTCTCGGGTATACACTTGTTTTGCCTCGTGCTCTCGTGGCGGAAGCCTTACTGTCAACAGCATTTTGTTCGTCAGTCCTACGGCTTAGCGGCGTACTTGCGCTAGTGAGTGGCATTTCAAATAGCAATCATCCGCCGTGGCGGCCGCTGCATGAAAGTGGCAAGAGCCAGTTCGCCTTACCTGTTGCTATCGCCTTCATTAGTATTATGTAGTTGTTGCTCGTGTTTTTATTGCTTTATAAGCGCGTACACAAACTATTATGAATTTTACGATTATACAATTTACTTGTTGAAGATTTTCTTCTTTTCTCTAGCTTGCGCGCAAACTATCATTTCTATATCATTTACTTAAAGCAAAAAAAAAAAATGCGGCAAATTTCTTAACTGCCTCTATAATATTTGCTCAATTGTTGCTGATGTCATTGCAACACCATAAAGTTATTATTGTTGTTTGCGACTGTGTGGGTCTCTCTTCTACTGCTCCTTTGCTCCATGATTTCCAGCAAGCTTGTGCTGGCTTATAAACTTTTAATGGGGTTTAGTGAAAATAATCAGTTATAAAGTTTTAAGCAAATAAAAAAATTGCTTAAATGTTTCGAAAAACTAAAAGCTTCTGGTATTTTTGATATGAAAGTCGAACACTTTATGGCGAATACTCCTTTCAAGATTATAACAGATTGCTTCAAGCTCAATGTGGGTGCACAAATTGCAGAAAATAACACGTTGTGATGACTAAATGAATTTGATATTTCTGCAATCTTTCAGAGAAAATGATCCCTGAAGACTAACCAAACCTTTTACAAATACTACTGATTCAT